TAAAACAGAAGTACAAATTACCAGTCACGGCCTCATAATTAGCTGCAGAAAGGGCAATACTTGCTGCCTGGACATTTTTCTTTGCTGTCTCATGTTCCTTGTATGTGTATTTCACCTAACTTTCTCCTTTTCCTTTCCCCTTACCACATTACTACACAGTTTGTGTTGATAGTGGCTGACTGTACAATGTAGTTCATAGATCCAATATCGAAATAAAGCCAAGGTGAAACGGGGGGAGGAATGGACATCATTCAAGACCCTGGCCTTGGAGCTGGATGGAGTGTATAGGGGGATGTGATTCACTTCTGGTCAAGGGAATAATTAAACTTATTTGAATTTTGTAAAAATGGCACATTTGCTGATATAAGAAGAAAAGTTAATTGGATTTGTGAAAAATAGGGTATTTTGTTTCCAAAACAGTCAAAAAGTTGCTAAGCATAAAACTTGTCAAATGCAAGAAAGATAGTGAATATGCAATTGTTAGGTCTAAGAAATGTATTTAATTACATTCTCTACTCTTTGGCCAATGTTATTTCATTAAAGATTTAATATATATTTATAGGAAATAAGATAAAGAATTTACTATAAATATCCCAATTTATTATATAATATTAATCTCAAGTAATCCTTATCATTATATAACCACAGGTTTACAAATCTTTAGTTTTATAAAGTTAATTATTAAATAAAAAAATTTACAGACACCATATTTACTGTTACAACATAGACAAGTCACAAAAAAAAAAAAAAAGTTTATTTTATGCTAGGGTTACTTTCTGCCCAGGTCGAAACATTATTCCACTTTGATTTTTCCTCTTCTTTGGATTTTGAAAGTTTTCATACCTTAAAAAAGAAGTGAGATAATATTTAATACATGTAAATGCTAAAATTACAAAAGACAATGGATTCTTTGTAAATAGAATTATGTTTTAAGAAACATAAGGGAAACTGGAAAAAAGTGCTCATAACAGAAATTAAAGTTCTTACAAATATATTTTCAAAAGTTGAACACCTCTCTAGAAAAAGGAGCAAAGGGGATAAATTTAGAAAGATAAAGTACAAATGGCAATGAGTAATATAAAAGTATAACCTTTATAGTTATACTGCTGATCTAAACTTAGAAAAAGGAAAAGGACTCTCCCACTGTGCAGGAGACTGAGTATAACCTTTATAGTTATACTTTCATATTACTTATGTTGAGGGGAGCAGAATTGGTCACCCCAAAATGTGCCACTTTGGCAGGTGCATCATTTTGAGCTAAAAGGAATCAAGACCCAGCAGACTCAGAAGGAAGCAGCTTTTTACCGCCCCCACAATTGCCTCGAATTGAGATAGGGGGCCTGTGCCAGAAAGGCAGCTATACCAGGGTAACTATCTGAAAGCCTTACCTGCACAGCAGGACAAACACGGATTAGCACACACCCAGTTGTGAATCGCCTTCCTCCCCCTGTCCCCTTTGAAGCCCTGGCCCCATCCCTTTCCTTAGCTTAGAATAACACAGAAGCTTCAACTGCCTTGCTGCCTCTGAGTCTCACATTTTGATGTGGCTCCCATAGGCACGAAATTAAATGGGACCTCAGACCAGAGCCGGCGAAGGTAAGAACTGTTACTGCCTCAGTCACCTGGACAGTGGGAGTCCTTTTCCTTTTCCTAAGTTTAGATCAGCAGGACAAAATACTTGTGTGAACTAGTTGCTTGGGTATAGTGACTGATAAAGATCTGTTATGAGTACTCATTTTCTATTGGTCCTTTCCCCCTTTTGTCTGTCTTTTATCATAAGAAGGAAAATCCTAGGGTAGAAAGTAGGTAAGTCCTGTAAGCCTGTGGTTTGAGCCAGCCCTGCACCTGTTTCGGGAGACTTTGATGCGGGTCCCCTATTTAAAAAAAACTGAAAGAGGGTTTCCTCTCATCTTGTTCTGTCTTGAGAGTTTGGCTTTGTAACCAGTGAGAATATTCTCTCTGGCCTCGGTCAGCCAAAAGATGCAAGTACCAGTTTGTACCTGCAGCCAGCTGAGTAGACTCTGAGACAGAAGTAACAAGCAGCACTCTGTCCAACTGGGTCAGCCCTTAGGGAGCTGGTCTTAAAGGCTCCCAACCAAAGGGGACTTTGTCATCTCAACCTTCATGGTTTTCTTAGTGCTGAGAAGTCCCAGTTCCGTAGTGCCTGCCCAGTGCCACAGATGAGCAGGCCTGTGACTGGAGGCATCTCATGTTCTCTGGGAAACCAGAGACACTGTTTTCACGGCACCATTGTTTTACCACCTCCTACAATGGTTAATTCTGGGAATGAACTTGATGGGTCTTGTGAGGGCTGCATCTTTTGCATCCTCTTTTGGGACACCTCTTGCATCCATGCTTAAGTTACACAAAGGCTTATTGGTTTGCATCACTATTAAGATTAATTAAAGATGCTACTTGTCAATGGCCAGCTGATGGATCCTTTGAATTGGAAAACTTCTAAATTTAAAAAAATTTAGTTAGAGAGCTCTCATGCTAAACAATCGCCTACTGGCACCTGTGGAAAGAGGATACACAGGAGTATTGCTGCTAATTGCACGGACTCCCTTAACCAGATGAAAGAACAGAAATTACCACATCCAATGTCAGTTCCTTTCTCAAAGTCCAGCTCTGCCTGCCTATTGTTTTTTCAAGTATAGTTTACATTCAGTGTTATTTTGTATTAGTTTTAGGTATACCACATAGTGACTAGACAATTATATTTTACAAAATATCCCATATCCGATATTTCCAGTACCTACCTGGCACCATACGTAATATTATTGACTCTATTTCCTATGCTGTACTTTATATCCCCATTACTGTTTGGTAATTACCAATCTGTACTTCTCAATTCCTTCACTTTTTTTCACCCAGCCTTCCCATACTCCCCTCTTTTCTGGCAACCATCAGTCTGTTCTATCTATGAGTCTGTTTCAGTTTTGTTTGTTCCTTAGATTCCACATATTCCTGAAATCATATGGTATCTGTCTTTACCTGTCTGACTTATTTCACTTAGCATAATGCCCTCTACATCCGTCCATGCTCTCACAAATGGTAAGATTTCATTCTTTTTTTTATATCCAAGTAATATTCCACTATATATATGTACCACAGTCTGCCTGTTTTAACCTCCCTGGGGGTTATATAGGTTACTCAGGCATGAAATTGAGAAGAATCATGTCCTTGGTGGATGTAGTTACCTCTATATTCAGAATATCCTACCAATTTTAGAGAGAAGTCAGAGAGGTTACTATCTATCAAAACCCCGCTGACAGGGACCTTGATGCTACTGCAGTTATCAGACAAGCCAGATGGCTCCGTGGAAACCCTCTCACAGGGGAGCCGATTACTCAAGGGCTGGAAGAAGCAACAGTAGAGCCTTTCCCCATAAGGTGAACTGATCCAAGGTTGAACACCTTATACAGGCTTTTTAAAGGCATACTGCATTACACCCTGCAGTTTTGCATACAGGCATCTTTTGATTCCCACCTTAACTGAAAATCTGCAGGTAGTTGGATGGATGGTCAAGAGACTGTTATTTTACAAACTGGATTCTTTGCCAAACCAGAAATGTGGCTCTAGAAACATTTCAAAGTCTACCTATCTTTACCAACCCCCAAATCTACTCTGTTCCTCTCAAAATGCTTAGAGATATTTAGAACAGAATTGTCCTAAAAAGAGGAAAAATTTAAATAGTAATTATCCTACACTTCTGATAACAGAGAAATACGTCTCACGACTCCTAGGAGAAAACATGCATTCTTTCTCCCTTGAAGATGTAAATCTTACCATGTCTTTAAAATATAAACACCTCAGGAGATAACCAAAACACTACCCCCAATCACCTGAGACTGAAAAGGACTTTCTACAACACAGATGGTTACAGAAGCTCCCAGTCCCAGATCTAGTCCAGAGCCTCCATAAGATTACTTGTCAAGGGCAAATATACATCTTGGAAGTCTTCTCCACAAATATTAGTAAAAACCATCAGCCATTTGAGCAAGTAATCTTAACTTGTTCTACCAGAGACACAATTTGGATTCAACTGTTAATTATAAACTAGTGAGTTTTATATTATTGTACCTGACTCATGGCTAAAATTTTGGAATGGAAGCTATAGGGCAGCAGTTCTCAACCTGTGGGTTGCGACCCCTTTGGTGGCCGAACGACCCTTTCACAGGGGTCGCCTAAGACCATCTTGCATATCAGATATTTACATTACGATTCATAACAGTAGCAACATTACAGTTATGAAGTAGCAACGAAAATTTTATGGTTGGGTCACAACATGAGGAACTGTATTTAAAGGACCAAAAGGTTGAGAACCACTTCTATAGGCTCTCTGTGTCGGTGTGTTTGTGAATGTCTATGGATGGATATACGTATGTTATGTGTATGTGATACTTTCCTCCAATCGGATGGTACTGCCAAAATTAATTTGTAAAAAAGCTTTATTTAGTTGGCTTAAAAAATAAGCACTTATTAAGTTAAATAGTTCTAAACTCTCAAAAATATAATAGAAACTAACTCTAATGCTTTTCAAATTTACATGATCTGGGATAATCTTTAGTTAGAAAAAAAGTTTGTTTAATTACAATAGTCATGTTTTCAGTTATTCGCATTTAATATAATGTTGACATACTTTTGTTCTACCCCGGTTTCTTAGTAAAATAAGCTCATGTTACAAAATTTATCATTAATGGTTATCTATTTTAATGTCTCATGAAATTTTCACAAGTAATCTAAATATTTTTAAGAAAAAATTAAAGTTCGTAAGTGAACTTTTCAATAACAGTTGCTTTATGAGGTCTACTTGAATAATTTTTCAAAACTTTTTGGTAACTTACACTCTTAGAGTTTTGCTAATTTAAATGATGGGTGCTCATTGACTAGATCATTTTTAAGTAAGAGAAAATACTGAACCACTACTGAACATGGATTTCTTTTTTTTAAAATATATTTTCATTGATTTTTTACAGAGAGGAAGGGAGAGAGATAGAGAGTCAGAAACATTGATCAGCTGCCTCCTGCACATCTCCCACTGGGGATGTGCCCGCAACCCAGGTGCATGCCCCCGACCGGAATCGAACCCGGGACCCTTCAGTCCGCAAACCGACGCTCCATCCACTGAGCCAAACCGGCCTTGGCGAACATGGGTTTCTTACTACAATATTTGGATGTATTAGTAAACATGTCCTATGCTACAGTGAAAAATTGTACTAGTAGAAAGAGGGTTATGATCTAGAAGTTATTAAATGTATTCATAGATTTGCCAATCTACAGAATGCTGGTGTAACATTTCAGAATTACAAGAAATTAAGGTTTTTAAGGGTTAGGGATTCTAATTAATATATGTAATTAAAACTATAAGAAATAAGAACTCTGTATACAAGGAAAGTAGGTTTGCTTTTAGTAAAATGGTATGAGGGCTCTGGCCAGGTGGCTCAGTTGGTTGGAGCATCATCTGTGGGTTCAATCCCCAGTCAGGATGCATGTGGGAGGCAACTGATAGATGTTCTCTCTCTTACTCTAAAATTTTTTTAAAAACGTGGGGGGAAAAAAGTATGGAGATAGATTTTTGTTAAGGGAAA